AAAGCAATTACCTCTCTTTTACTACGGTAAAAGCCCACGGCCTCAAGGTTGCCACAATACATCTATAATTGAACAGCAACAGCTTTAATGTTCAGCTTGGATGACAAAAAAGTTGGCTATTGAAATGCTGCCTACCATGGTGTCTGCATACCAGGGAGCACTACATCAGCTTGACAAGTCTCAGAAGGAATGATAGCACCTCAAGCATCTCAGGATCCGATGTGCTGGGTGTATCCTGGCAGTGGCAATACTTTCCATTTATGTATCCAAACACTTTTAAGAAATGAAAAAAAAAAACACCACTACCCTGTTAATTTCCTTGAAAGAGCCAAGATCTTTTGTTTGAATGCTTTTCCTTTGAAACCTGCATGAATTTTATTTCAAAGGAATTTTCTTTGAGCGTTCCTAGAAATATGACGACTCCATGATGAACAATACGCTTGGGTGTTGCATCATTTTGGGAATCCAGCTGGCTTCAAATACATCACCATAAAATGGCTAAAACCAGGAAATGTTTTGCCCAGAAAAGGCCCCAGAACCAGTCTCTTTAGGAAAAATGACCAAACTGATGTACTTGTCCCAAACTTGCTGTCAATATTATTGGTGCACAGATGGGTGCTGACGGTCAGATGTGGACTCTCTGAATGAAATATGACCCATTTTAGTTGTATCTGTGCAATGCTGTGCCCAGACTAGTTAATTTACAGCCAGATCAATGTGTTTTGACATCATGGAGATCTGAAAGTTCCCTGGAAGCATCCTTTTGATACAAAGAATACATACAAAAATTATAATGATGTTTCTTATGCAACTATAAACCCCAAAAAACCAACTCATACACACCAGGGCATGCACTCATAGGAACATGGAAGTTATTCCCTCTCTTCTCAGGACAGAAGGACTCAAGCTGGCAAAGTCTGGAGATTCTCTAATATTCATGTATATCTTAACAGTAAGAAGTCTTTTTAACAATTACATAGCAAAATTTTAAATACTTTAGTTTAGAAATAGCTAAGCTTGTGTTCATTCTCATTAAATTAGAAAAAGTGACTACTCCCTTTCTCCCCATCCCTGGTTTTGGCCTCTACCAGTGAAAAATAGTCTTTAAGGCTACTGCATGTATTTGATGCTATATTGATGGCTTTGGCTTGAAGAAAGTTGCACATAAACGTTACCAAGGCAGCCAGCATAAAATGGTTTGATGGAGAAGGGGCTACTCAACCTCCTACAGAGCTTGAAAGCAGTTTCAGGATTAACCCCTGTCCTTACAAGTCCGTAATCCTCAGCGACCCAGAACTCCTCGCTCTCCTACACCATCAGTTTTATCTAATCCAAAACTCACTGTCAGAGCTCTTATTTGAACACATTTTAAACTTTTGAAGCCCTTTTCCTTACCTCCAGGCACATGGACAGTCCCACACATTAACGCTTCTTGAAATGCAGATGGTCCTTCAGCAGGTGGCCACCAAAACGTCCCCACCGTGGCTTTCTGCCATGGCCAGCCAGTGACATAACCACAAAAACACCTGATATTTTCCCTAGCTTGCAGAGCGAGAAGCGTGTGTTAGACAGGGTTGTCATCAGGGGCCCCGTGAAGAGGGCGAATGCATCCAAAATAAAAAAAGTTATAAAAACAAATGACTTTATAGCTCGTCTTTTGTCTCACCAAAGCTACATATCTTAAAATCAATTGTCTACATGAAGTAAGAACAGATGTCAGAGAGAGTAATAAACACAGAGTAGGAGAGTGGGAGTCCCAGGACACCAGCCAGGGATTTGCTTGGTAAAAAGTATCCAACAGCATTTACTTCTTGGTCACAATCTGCATTCCAGAGGCTCGATCAGAGAGATGTGTAGAAAACCTACTCTTTAATCATGATTTCTGCAGCATATAACCCCTTTTAAACTATAGACGTGTGTGTTTTTAATATATACATACTCAATTAGTGTGGGGCATTAAGTGACATTTTAAAGTATTATTTATTAGCCCTTTTCTAGGGTTACAGCCAATTCCTTAATTTCTCAGATGCTTTTCTTCATGCCATATGTTTTTTGTTAGAAATGTTGTCTTTGAAAATAAGTCCAAATCACGGGATTTAGTTTGGGGTTTTTAATGCATCAACTTCCACTGCTAGAACTAAACATTGTCTCTTCCCACACCTAAAATAGCTTTGTATTAGATCATCCTTTTTAGTAACCAAAGGAGCATAACACCTAGACACTGGTCCTTGAGAGTACGAGCTAGCACCCACATGGGCATGTTGGCCACAAACACCTACAAATTTATTCTTCAGTTCTCCCAGCCTCACAGTTTGGATTATTTGCCATGCAAGCCATCGCGAAAAGAAATTTACCTCTAACACTACAGCCCATTTAACGACATATAATTCAATATCGTGTTACAACAGAATTCTGTTTAAAACACAAAGATCCCTGTAGGAACAAAACAATAACAATCTTTGATACCACAATTATTTGAGACTTGCTAAAATATCTTTGTAGTTAGGTGAAGAGATGTAAAACGACTATTTAGAACGCAAATTTTCTGGGAAATAAAAATTTAAAAAAATCAAATCTTTCATGCAGATGCTTAGTTTAATATGTCTGCAATGTGCAAGATAATATTCCTATCAAGAAGGTAAAGGAGAGAAAAAAAAATTTCGTTTTGTAACCACAGCCAAATAAAGCAACAAGTAAAGACTGTTATGACAATTGCTACACAAAACAGCTAACTGGCTGCTAAAAGGAATTTTGATTGTATAATATGTAAGGCACCTAAGGGCAAAATTCCAGCCCACCTAAGCAACACCTAAATTGGGTGTTAAGTGAAAAACAACCACCTCCGTCTGAGATGGGGATAGAGATAGGCTGACAGGCAGCAAGTTCCCTCACCCTGAAGGTAGCCAAAATTCAAATGTAGCCACCCAGCATGCCGCCAGCTCGCACCCGCCTTTCCTTTCAGCTCACAAGCTGCCTTTGAGATTGCGTCCTGCCCGAAACAAAGCACCAACTGCCATTTTGTCCCTTTTCCCAGGAAAAGGTACCCCACCACCTTGGTGCTCTCCTACTATGGGAACAAGGCCAGCCCAGGAAGGGAGGCCCTGTAGCACCAGTCCCCAAAAATACAAAGGTCAGATGAGACAGAGTCTCACAACAATCCTGTTACTAAATTATTAATTTTTTATTATGCATTTTTGCTGACAAAATAAAAAATTTGGGAAATAGATAAAGGAAGAAATGGGCAGAGAGACAGAAATAGTCCCGGATTTTCTGAGTGAAAACCAATCTTTGGTCACACTTTCTCAAAGAAAAGCAAAAGTCTGTCAGCAGGGAACTGATATAAACCCACAAGGAGATAAGCCTCAGTAGCAAAAGCAGTACTCATGACAAAACGTACACGACAGGAGGATTTCCACAGTGAGGCAACAAAATAAAATGGTGCACCAAGTCTCCTGAGCATCCTCTGTGTGTTTACAGGAGTCTTGCGTTGATGTATAAGGTGCAGGAAGGAGATGGAAGAAATACTACAGATGCAAATTGAACTGCAATTTTGTTCAGCTGACCGCAAGAGTACATCACACAAGGAGGATTATGACAGAAGACTTGAAGCTGCTTAGAAAGGAAAAAAAAAAAAAAAGCATCTACATTTAAAGACCAGAACATAATGACTTTTAATTTTTCATCATTGTAAAAGAAACGCATCTTGTCAAAGCAAGGCACAGGACAGATGGCCAAACCAAGGAACTCAGAGTGATGAGGCCTCTCTTTCAAAAATATCACAGCCTTCCAAAGCCCAAGGATGTGATGGGCAATGCAAAAAGGGAGGGGGGTAGGAAAAATATAGGTGAGCTGCCAAACTTCTTGGCATTGGTGAGGGTTTTAGGGTATAGGGCACAGGGACAACCAGCAGCAGGGAGGGCACCTGATGTTCCTAGAATGAATCTAGAGAAGGGGAACAACGAAAATCTATCAGAAGATGGACACTGGACTCTAGTAAAGCCAGCCTGAAGACTGATTGATCTTAGAGGAGTGAGCACAAACTCTGCCCAAAGCAGAGGGAGACACAGGAAGGTGTCAGGAGAAACGGGCAAAAATGTGAGTTCTTCATAAACCCAGAACCAAGTAAGGAATTGTACAAAAAGCACAAGTGAGATCAGAGTTTACTAATAATTAAAGCAGCACAGGCATATACAGGCAGCATGCACAGAATGACCAAGACAGTCATATCAATTAGCAGCTGATACACTTGCTATTACTTTTTCTAATACTGTAGGTAGGAGATCGTTTACTTCTTCATGAAGGTCTTCATCTGTCTTTGCTTATTTTTCACCCCCAACTAATTTATGTTGCTTAGTCTAGCAAAGAGGATGCATTATAAACATCACAACTATACTTCACAAAACTTGCAGGGAAAAAATGCCAATCATTTCTCAGGTCCAACAGCGCCAGAATCAAAAAAAAAAAGAAAAAAAAACCCCACACACATTACACTGAAGCTGCAGTGAGAAAGATTTGCTTTAGACACTTCTACATCTCTCCAATGATAGGAATATATGCAACTCCTTACAATGTTTAAAAAGGTTGTTGACCCTCGATGGTATTTTTGTTTTGCTTTAAAAAAACAAGTTATACATCTGCCTGTGTGTTGGTGATGCCTTTTGAAGCAGACAGGAACTATATAACCTCAGGAGATACCTTACACAGAAGGCAGGATACAAAGACATCAGGAAAACATTGGAATTCCTCCAAAAATGCCCTGTCTGAGGATAGCTTTCTATTTCTGTTTATCCACTGCTTTTCTTGAACATTACTCTTAACACAAAGATTTACCTCCGTTTGCAAGGCAGTGTAAATGCAATTTAACAAAGACAGTACAATAAATAGCAGTGCCTTAAAATAGAGTTTTTCCCAGTTATCTCATCAAGTAAGACCAACGCTGATGGACACCTGGGAGATTCTCACTTTCAGCTTCTGATGTTCTCAGCACCCTTGGGCCATACTCAGGACATCAGCATCTTCCTAATGAAAAAGTCATAGAACCAGAGAGGAAAATAGCAGAAAATGCAGAGGGTCATGTAAGCCCCTTTGCCAGGCGTGTACAAGCCGTGTGGCCTCTTGGCCAGCAAAGCGTGCAGGATGGCGCTCAGAACCGGGGAGAGGTCGGCATCGCAGTACATGGGCACGTGCAGAAGGTAGCTCTTCAGCCCTAGGAGGTACTCCTCACCATAGTCTTCTCTCGTGTCTGCTGGCAGGTTCTCCATCAGCTCCTTTTCTTGCTTATCCCACAGGTCAGATGTCCCTTGTATACCTGCAGTAGCAACATCACAGGA